GTAAAAGAAAATTAATATAAAAAAAGACAACAAAAAAATAAAATCATAAAAAAAATATAAAAAAGAAATGATTATATTAAGAAATAGAAATGTCATAAATAAAAAATAGAGGTGTCATAAAAAAAAGTAAGGGTGCCATTAATCTTTCCTTTGTATTAATCATTAAATTTGTGAACGAAAGATAATATTTAATTAAAAAAGTAATTGTTTTTTATCTTATCCAACACGCATCATGCCTACACACATAATTTAAAATCAAAACCTCATTATACCACCATCGTCTCCGGTCTATAAACCACCACCGCCATCGGTATCTCCGTTGAATCACCACCGTTGCTATGGCTTCAGTTACTAACGAACACAACTATGATCGTCTGAAGGAAGTGAAACAATTCGATGAATCAAAAATCGGAGTGAAAGGATTGTTAGATTCCGGCGCAACCACCATCCCTCGCTTCTTCCACCAACCACCGGAGAATCTCCCAGGGCCAAAACCTAAAAACCGACCGCGATTAACCGTGCCAGTCATCGACTTATCTGGTCAAAGGTCAAGCGTGGTTGAAGAAATCCGACGGTCGTCTTCCACACTGGGGTTTTTCCAGATCGTGAATCACAGCATCCCAACAACATTAATCGATTCAGCCATTAATGCTATGAAGAAGTTTTATGAGCAATCGACAGAGTATAAGATGCAATTCTATCACAGAGAAGCAGGGAAAGGAGCAGCATATTCTACCAATTTTGATTTGTATCAATCAAAAGCTGCCAGTTGGAGGGACTCCCTTCAGGTTAGATTCTAACAGTTATCAATGAAACAGTACTTGGTCCCATTTCTAGTTGCAAAATGCTTTTAAGCACAAAAAAGGCAATAATGATTCACCTTGCCCTATCTATTGATGTATGTATATATAGAAATATCTCACATTTGTTATAATTGAATGATTCCTATTTTTTTATTAACTTGAATATCCAAACTGTTATGCAAGCCGACTGATCTTAAGGCGACCACCTGCTTTGTAGATAGCCCGGAATCACCACCATTTGAACCTCCGTGGCCACAAGGGGATTTTTATTCCTCCTTGGATTTGAACCTGAGACTTCCTGGTATTTTTGACCTTTAAAGTCAAGCTTAAACCAATCAGACACCACCTTGTGGTTAATCTATGAAAAAAAAGTAAAAAAAATCGATGATTCTTTCACTCCCTGTATATGTGGAAACTTTCTTTTATTTTAGAAAGGCTCTTTTAAAGAGTGATATGATGTTATCTCACATGGTAAGAGAGTTGGGGTCTTCCACCTCTAGGGACTCGACACTTTTCACATGGTATCAGAGTCAGGGTCTTCTACATCTAGGAACTCGACACTCTTGGGACACCTTCACCTTCTAGCCTTCAGTGGAGGTGGCATATTAGGGTCTTGCATCGTCTAGACTCGGTCCCTTTACTCCCTATATATGTTACATTGTTAAAAGTTTCCCGTATCTCTTTGTGTATATATGGTAGAATCTCTTTTCTTTTCTAAATGGCTCTTTTGGAGAGTAATATGAAAAGGTGCCATAGTTCGTTAAAATGCACGGTTTTGAATTAACTTATAAATATCTATCTCCCAACTTTTACAATTGAACATTTATGGATGTGAAGGTGCGGATGGCACCCATGGAGCCGGCATGGAACGCGGTGCCTGAGATGTGCAGGGAGGCACTGGTGGATTGGGACAAGGCGGTCGTGGGGCTAGGAGAAGAGCTTATGTCGATTTTATGTGAGGGATTGGGTGTGAAAAATGATAAGTTGAAAGAGTTGTCGTGTTTGGAGGCAAGGGTAAGTGTATCCCATTACTATCCTCAGTGCCCACAGCCAGACCTGACAGTCGGCCTGACCACCCACACCGATCCAGGGGTGCTGACGGTGCTGGTGCAGAACGAGGTCGGTGGGTTGTTGCAGGTCAAATGTGGTGAAGACTGGGCTGATGTTGAAGCAGTTCCTGGTGCCATTATTATCAACATAGGTGATCTCCTTCAGGTACTTCTTCAATACTATTTATGACTATACGAGTCTCCTAAATGAGTCATATATTTAGATGAATTAAGTTGAATGGGAATAATCAAATGAGAACTCTGTATAATTTCATATTATTTGTGAGGTATTGATCAACATATATTTGTTTTATACCGTGAAACTCTTTTATGTGTATTATTTTTTTTACAAACACGCATAGAAGTATCACATTATGAGACAAACATATGTTGATCAATCCCTTAAATCTTAGAAGTTGTTTGGTTGGTTTTCCATTAAATCCTGTATATGGATAAAGATATATTTGTGTGCATTAACGTGTCTATATAGATTGAGAAAGTTTTTGTTTTGGGAGGGTTTTTTCATGGATGAAATAAACATGTTCTTTAACTGGAGGGGCGGGTTTGGAAGAAACTTGACTTTCTGCATAAAGCTCCCCAAAAAGTGTAAGGGGCCGTTTACCAAACAGTCATTTATAGCTAACTGAATAAGTGTAAGGGGCCGTTTACCAAACGCTTACCTGGGTAAAAGCTTACCAAGTCACATTACCTTACTGAATGAATATGGCAAGGACTAAGAATCTTACCCGGTAAGAGCGAGGCAAGAACAAGTGTCTTACCCGGTAAGTGGGGTGATAACTCTTACCATAGTAAGCGTCTACCGAGTAAATTGTTGCATACAATGCCATTTTTGTGAACCAAAATCTTATGCGATAAGTGAATGACAGTATTAAATTTCACTGGTAAGCGTTTACTGATTCAGTGTTTGGTTAACGGCCCCTAAATCTCATTAAGTTGCTGACAAACAAGCTCTCTAAGTCTTGTATGAATAAAGTTAACTGTGTGGATTAATCTGTTTGTATGGATTGGGAAGGTTTTTTCATAGATGGAAAAAGCTTGTTTTTTAATTGAGAGGGACAAGTTTGGAAAAAACTTAGCTTTCATCTATGAAAAGACCCTCCCAATCAAATTAATCCATACAAACATCTTTATCTATACAAGACTTAAAGAGGAATCCAACCAAACAACTCCTTAGTCTTAGATGAAAAAAATCATATGAAATAACACATGATGTACTGCTTCTGATGGTTTGTAACTTTTTTTGTGGTTCCAAGATGATTTAACTCCCTTAAGTTGAAATCCTAACCCTAAATGACTGAGATATTATTCGATTCTATAGATGATGTCTAACGACGAATACAAAAGCGTGATGCATAGAGTGTTGGCAAACCCTGTTGAAGGTGCACGTGTCTCTATTGCCGTCTTTTTCAATCCAAGCATCCGAGAAAATCTATATGGACCATTCCCAGAGCTGATAACTGCCGAGAAACCAGCAGTTTACCGGGAATTCACATATGAAGAATACATTACCAGGTTTTTCAAGAAGGAGCTTGACGGGAAGACATTAACCAATTTCTACAGAATTGATAACACGAAGGCCTGATCTTGTATGATTATTTGTATGTACAATATTATGAACCGTATGTGGTTCATGTCAAATCGCATAGAATAAAACATTGATACAATACTTACAGAAACCTGTATTTATCCATGTTTACAATTGAAACGAAAATTTGAAGTTGTGCTTGCCTGTGGTGACATGAAGCATTGCTGAACCAAATTACCTTGATCGATTGTTGTAATCAAGAGGTGGAGTTATTGAAAGCTTTTGGGCGTTTATGATCGCATTTCAAGCATACCATGTTTCTTTTGAAGTTTATGTAGTTGCATCTGCCAAATGAGCGACGTTAAATGAAGTTAGCGTAAGCTAAGGGGGCACGAAACCAACCAGTTTCAGAACTTAAGTCCGGTTTACAATCTTTGTCGAAAAAATCCAGATTACAAATCCAAGAAAACTTGGGCCTCGTTGCCACCCATCATTCTTTGGAAATTTCTTGTAGGAAACTTGAGTTTTAACGAAGTGGGTGAGAATGGAAACGATCATTTTGTGGATTTATAGTTGATCGAAGATAAACCCAGCTAGAAACAGTCATCATACTCGTAAATCGTAAAATGGACTCTTGTAAATGGGAATTTGGAAGAGAAAAAGAACTCACGAGTCGCACTCCCATTCCCCAGGGTTAAGCTGCCTCTTCGGTGGGTTCGTATGGCACTGCAAACATCTTGTGTTCTTGGCAAAATTTAGAAAATGGCATCTGTCATAATTCAAAGGGTTAATTAATGTAAAGAATACCAACCAAGTTCACAATTTATAACTATTAGTTACAAGACATTTATAGACCAAGCCTTGTTTGTTAGCAGCTTGATGAGTTTAATGGGACTCGCAGCTTATGCAGTCAGCTATATATGACTGTTTGGTAATGGCTTAATGATATTGAAAGTGGTTATTCAGTAAACTTCTAGAGGGAAGCTTTATGCAGAAAGCCAAGTTTTTTCCAAACCTGTCCCTCCCAATTAAAAAACATGCTCATTCCGTCTATGAAAAAACCCTCCCAAACAAAACCTTTCCAACTATACATACAAATTAATGCACATTGACATCTTTATCCATACAGGACTTGATGGAAAACCAACCAAACAGCCCCTAAGCTCTGTTTCATGAAAAGCGAATACAAACAAAAAAGACTTTGGCAAACGAGGCCACGATGAAATGATGTTTAGCATACCTTATACATAGCCAATCTCCCTTCTTCAACTGGCTAAACTCCCGACTGTTCCATGATCCCTGATGTCTTTCATGGAATAATAGGCTATTACAGACCTTACACTTGACGTTTCTGGCAAAATTCAAGAACTTGCATCTGCAAAATTGAAGTTCATCGAAGATATTTGGAACTAATTAACACGGGTATAAGGTTATCAAACATTATATTAAATGCATCAAAGTTATCACTCTGGATTACTTGGGACAATTCCAGTCGCTTTGGGTTGTAGAAACGATCGATATGTGTTCTTGTTGTTGAGTTGGACTTCTATGGACAGATGGAACCCGTTTTGAATTATCATAATCGAGTTCATCCTTGCTAAATTTCACCATATCTTTAATTAAACTTCTTATTGCTTCCTCCAGCCTTTTGTTTAAGAATGGCTCACTAACATCTGAGCTAGTAATATGATTAAGGCCGTACGTGAGTACAAGACGCATGACATCCACAGTGCGGCCACCTTCATCTTCGCGTGCCTTCACATGTGCCCTCTCACAGTTTCCCCTCAAAATGCAGGAGCTGCAAACCTGCTAAATGATTCATTATTCAATAGAAATATGCTAATTTCTTGTATTTATGGTACAAGAAAACAACCCCTAGACCCATTCCCAAGCGGGGTTTTTGGCAAATTAAACACAGATTTTCATCAAACATAAAAAAGGAAATTTGTTACATACATTTCCTTCATCGATAGACATGTGCGCCCTTAGCCGTTTCCCTGAGTTCACAACTTTCCTGTCCATGCTTGGACAGCCAGATCCTGCAACTGTCTGTATATCTCTATTCTTAAGGTGGCTGCACAAAAAGCCACAATGTCAATAAATAGATAACTTAAAAGGGAAATTGTCCAAAATAGCCAATCTGACCGCCCTCTTCACTTTGTAGCCACCTTTTCAACTTATTGACAGAAATAACAAAGATTACGCAACTTTGGTAACCTACTTTTTTCAATAAAATATTCAGGAAAAGTAGACAAGTTGCATAAGTGCTACTTGCTTAATGTCTATGTGAACAATCTATGTGGCACACACACCTCAAGTAGCACTTACACAACTCTACTTTTTCTGAATATTATATTGAAAAAAGTGGGTTATGCAAGTTCCGTAAGTGTTACTTGCGTAATCTCGGCCTTTTCTGTCAATAAGTTGAAAAGGTGGCTATAAAGTGAAGAGGGGTGTCAAAGGCTATTTGATTGCAAGCCTAGAGCTTTCAAGATTCTATTGTGAATTTAAAACAAGCATGGACTAATGTTTAGGTGTTACAAAGTTTGTTGTAGAAGGAAACCTTATCGGAAATAGGATTGACTACGGATTCAATCTATAACACATGGTTTCATAATGATAAAACCACATGATTTTCCCAATCTAAATCACATTGTACCTATGGTATAGAGGAAGAGGAAAAAACCGAATATTTCACATAGTGCTTTTAATCAATCTAATTTATTTCGTACCCTTCGCTCGATGTGAAAATGGGTTCAGTTCTAAAGGATCAAACCTATGGGACTTATGGAATAATATAAAAAAGAGAGGGAAAAATATTCATATTAAATAAAAATCAATAAAATAAGTAAATAAAAATGAAGTAGAAGAACTCATACTCCAAAGGAACAAATTCAAACTTGAAAAGGATCTTTCTGATTCTCGAAGGTTTGACATTGCTTCACACCCAAAAAAAGGGAGCTACGTCTGAGTTAAACTTGGAGATGGAAGTCTTCTTTCATTTTTTATCATAGATATAGATAGTGATAATTACTAATAAGAATTTGTTTCCTTTTACAAACTTGATGTCGATAAATCCGTGGCTCTATTGTCGAGAACTACTGAAGCTGTTTTTCCTAAAACTCGAGCAGTTTCTTAAAAACTCTCTTCAGATATGAAATTTATTCCCAATAAGGCGGCTCGGTAATAGATCGCTTCTTCCAAAGCCAATCATTTAATTTTCCCAAGTTCAATGTTAGTGAGATCAGTAACATTTTTATGTATCGATGCAATAGCAAGATACTATTTGTAACAAGTAGTTTTTTTGGTTGGATAATTGGTCTCCAAAGGATTCAGATCCTTCGACATTGTGGTTGAGCATCAACCCGTTAGAAATTCGAGGTCAAAAGCTAGCTCTTCTTTGTAATGGTTGAGTAATTAAAACAGGTGTTAATTGTAGTTTATATTGCATCATAGATTTGGCAATGATTTGCACTTGAAATGGAGAAATTTCACATGGTATTATTGTCGAACAGGTGGAGTGCATTCACATAGTATATTATCAAACGGGTGGTGTGCTTCAAAAGCCTCATAGATCCAAAGTACACAAAACCCGCAAATACCTCATGAGACCAGGCCGATCACGCGCAAAATTGAGACAAGCGGTCCGAATTTGATTACAACCCTTCCCATCAATCAACCCTCCACTTCGAAATGGATTCCCAACACCATCAAAGTATCCATTTTTCATCAACTTCTCCATCAACCCAACCCATTCCGGCCACTCTTGCTCATTCTGAATACTCGATGATCCAGAGTCAACTGGTTCTGCGGTTTTGGGAGCCTGTTGTGTTGAAATGCTAACTGGGTTTGATGATTGAAGGTCTTCAAATTCATCCAAGATGAAATTTATCGCGGGATTCGAGATTAGGGTTTTGTTGCGGGTATGAAGATAGGAAATTGATATCACTGATTTGGGTAATGATTTTAGGGTTTGGGAAAGATTCTGAAACATTATTTTTACTAGCGATTGAGCAATTTTGGCTTGGCGGGAACATTAGGGCCTATTTTGATCATTTGTTCATGTTTTTTTCAAAACTAGTGCTTGTTGTCTAAAAAATATCGTTTAGTAATTAGTAGAGAAGAAAATGGAATTTTTTTTTTCAGTTTATTTTAAAATTTTGGAATTTGTAGGTAATAAAAAATGTAAAATCAACTATTAAGGGTATTTACGTAATATACTTAGATATATTTTGATTTTAAGTTTTTGTTTTATTATTTGTTTCTATTGATATTATAATACGAATTTATATGGTTTTCAGAAAAAGATAATGTTTTTATTTTTTAATAAAATATAAATTTAAAAATATAATTAAAAAATTGTCATTACTCAATTTAATATCATTTATATTTTATTATGATTGCTAAACGAAAAAAGAACACTACAATTTAAATAAACT